ACATATATACATTTTATTTTTAGCTTTGCTTTAAAGTTCTTGTTTTGTGATTTGTACATTTGTGAGTTAAAATAAAGTTGAACTGAAGGTCGTCTCTTCTTTAAACATGTTTGAGGGAAATATTCCTGAGATCCAATAGTTTTGTGTCTTTTTATGATTTTCAGCTGAGTTAACAGTCATTAAAGTGAAAACAGGATTTCACGATGAAGCTGGCACCGTCTTTTTTTTTTTTTTTTTTTAATCTTCAACGCTCTGCTGGTCTCACTGATCCTCTCCTCCGGAGGCTGGGAGACTCATCCTCCCAGCTCCAGCTCAGCTGGTCACTCACAGAGGCTGTTCCAAGACCCCAGCCGCGCGTAATCATGAAGGTCCGACCCGCACAGACAGGCGGACAGAGACGGGTCTGCGACGAACGGTGGAAGCGATTTAAAAAAAACATTTTACGTGTAAAAAAATAATAATCATTTTTAAATCGCTTCAGCAATTTTTTAAAACATTTTTTGTATAAAAACAAAATATTATTTTATTTAAAAATCGCTTCCACCGTCCGTCCCAGACTGTCCAGTCTGCCTGACTGCGGGAGGGATCAGGATTCAGCCTTCATGATTACGCGCGGCCGGGGTCTGGCCACGTCCATCTGCGAGTCCCCATCTCCAGCTTTGCAGTGACCAGCGGAGCTCTGAGAACACAAGGCTGGTATCCGGAACCCGAGCCTCCGAGTCAGCACATCGATGGATCTTCCGCGGTGACCAGCTGAACTTGGAGCCGTGGAGATGATGCCCTGCCCGGTCTGGCGCTCGGAGGCTCCGGAGGGAGGATCGGGGTACACCAGCAGAGCTCCATCCAGCTTGCTCTGAATTATGTTGTCGGCCACCAAGCACAAAAAATGCCAGCACATCAGCATTAGACCAAGATGTTGTCAGTATTGTTTTTAAAATCTTTAAAATAAGTCCAGCCGCTGCTCCAGTCCGAGAAATTGCAAATGGCGGATTATTGTTTTGAAACGTTTCTGAAGGATCCAGTGACTCCGCCCCCGACTCCGCCCCCGACCAATCAGTGACCGACAGTGTTCTGACGTCACGTTTTTGTACCTCTTCGTACCGGTTAGAACCACAGAGCCAAGGGTACTGAAAATAGTAACAGGTGCTAAGTACCAGTACTAATGGAAAAGCCTCAGAACCGGGCCAAGTAGGGTCGAGTCGGCCTGTACTGGTACTAATGGAAAAGGGGCACAGAAGACCGAAGGAAGACTGAATAGTCCCAGGAAGTGTTGACTTTTTAAAGAGTACTCACTTCCTGTCAATTGGTGCTTCCTGATTGGTTGAAACAACCAGCAAGGGGTGGTTCTAGTGATGTCAAGAGGTTATTAAGAGTCAAGAGAGGATGCAGGAATGTTTAGGAACGGTTAGTACAGACAGAGAAAAGTTTATGAAGAGGTGAGACAACTTTGCAGGTGCCAGCTTCTTATTTACTGTCTGCTAGTTTTAAAAACAAGACACTTCGTTCTAATAACTTGCTTTCTGACTTCTGACCGACATCAAATCCACTCATTCAGACAGAAGCTCAAAATGCACAATTACTTCGTAAATAGACATTTAACTTGATTTCTAAGTCTGAGGTTTAAAAATCATTAATACTGTTTCACAGTTGATTTAAATGAGTGATTCACTTCAACATTTAGAAATGGTATGAACTAAACACACTTTGATTATCAAGATATTCTAAAATAGTAATGATAATGTAAAAAGGAAGAGTGTTCTTTCAATTGATTAATTCAGGACAAATTAAATAGTCTCTTGATGAGATAATTTGTATTTCTGGATTCAAATCAATGAAATAACAGTTCCTGTCCCATGAGGGTCTTCAGAGACAGGTTGAGGTCAGAGGCCTAGTTCACTACAGTCCCCCTTTGGAAATCATCGCCTGTCCATGGGGATGAATTCCATCATGAACTTACGCCTCTGAATGTCCTTGATCTTGATGTAATCCAGCAAGAGGAAAACAAGTCAAAGAAGGTAATCCCGCAACGGTTTAGGTAATTCCACAATGTTTTTGGTAATTCCATAATGTTGTTGGTAATTCCATTATGTTGTTGGTAATTCCATTGGAAAAGTCATATAATCCACAACGATAAATCCACAATGATTGGAGGTGTTGATTGATCAGCATGCAGAGGGTTCCCTCGATTGAACTGCAGAGGCGACCACTGGATGGAGTTTGGAGACCCACGTTGGAGTTGTAGGTCCCTTCAGCAAAGGTTGCTGCTGGTGGTTTCCAGTGGGTGCCATTGTGGTTCTATGTGTTCATGCATTTATGTGGTTTTAGTTGGGCTTATGAGTGGGATTTTACATAAGACCTTCACCTATATGCACCTGGTGTGTAAGCTATCATGGTTTAGATCAGCTACAGTTACCAATTAAAGGGTGGGTCATGCTGAAAAATTATATATAGGGATTTATACCTATTGAAGGGCATTCCAAACTATTTTTCCATTCCTAACTTGGTTTAAGTTAGATTTACATGGCAAAATATACAGTGAGGAAAATAAGTATTTGAACACCCTGCAACTTTGCACGTTCTCCCACTTAGAAATCATGGAGGGGTCTGAATTTTTTATCTTAAGTGCATGTCCACTGTGAGAGACATAATCTAAAAGAAAAATCTGGAAATCATAATGTATGATTTTTTTAATAATTCATTTGTGTGTTACTGCTGCAAATAAGTATTTGAACACCTGCCAATCAGCAACAGTTCTGGCCCTCAAAGACCTGTTAGTCCTCCTCTATAACGTCCACCTCCACTCCACTTATTATTCTAAATTAGAAGCACCCGTTTGAGGTCGGTAGCTGCATAAAGACACCGGTCCACCCCACACAATCAGTAAGACTCCAACTACTA